CTAATTTTGTGATGCTCTTTCAAGCTGTGGTGAAATGTTTGTCTAGACTTGTCTAGATCAAAATTTTGTTCATTAGGGAATAGGTCCATACGAAGCTAATTCAGTCCTATTATTGGCAGTGACGAAGCCATACAGCAACAGGTTAAGCCATGCAAATTCTCAATGATTTGCATTATTCAATTTGCCATGGATAGCTTTGCCAGTGATTACTGGCACTACCCTGCGCTCCTTCGCCCAGCGGCTACGCTCACGTTCTAAGATCCGCCATGTAAAGTGTAGTGAAATGTATCTCATCGTAATCATAGGCGTACCGTGGGGGGGGGCGGGCGGTAGCCCCCCCCCAGTTTTTTGGGCAGTCGGGCAATATTCGATTAACAGTCGGGCAATTTTGGTTTGTTATAAAAATAAATCGGACAAATTCTGTCAATTTTTTCGAAAATTTGTCAATTTTGTGGCCAATGTAGTGTTTTTTACAAAATTTATGTGATGCTCCGAAAAATTTTTGTATGTCCGGAAAATTTTTTTGACCCCTTAAATGGTACACACTGACCGAAATTTTTTTGGCGACAGGGGGGGGGGTTGGGGGGGAAGGTCGCCAAAATAATTTTTAGGTACTAGTCGGGCAAAATCACGAAAAGTCGGGCAATTTTACGAAAAGTCGGGCAATTTTCTTTCCGCCCCTCTAATTTTTTCCTTCCGGTACGCCCATGATCGTAATATTAAATCCTAACAAAACTAAAGCCTCTGCGGAGGAAAGAGGGCACTACCTACAGTGCCCACTGGTACAAATTGTTCAAGACATATAAATTGCAATATATTGGAATATATTTTTAAAAATATAATATATAAACAGCTATGTATATAGGGAAGTATTTTTGTCTCATGACAGGGGTACAAATAGTATTAAAACACTCGTTATCAATATACAATTGTCAATTAATTACACAATGTTAAAGTGGTATCTGGTACAGCCAAAACATGCCCTTAAACTCTAGTTGTTGTATTGTATGCCATCGTTAGATTGTATAAAGGCGGGGGCTCATTAGGGTGTAGTGGGGGTTGGTTGTGGTATGGTGGTGGGGGTTCGTTGGGGTATAGGGGTGGGGGTTGGTTGGTGTAGGGCGGTGGGGGTTCATTGGTGCGTTGTTGATTCGTGTGCTGTTGAAGGTTTCCTACATGTAAATACATTGGTTGTTGTTGTTGTTGCTGTCGTTGTTGCTGTTGCTGTTGTTGTTGTTGTTGTTGTTGTTGTTGTTGTTGTTGTTGTTGTTGTTGTTGTTGTTGTTGTTGTTGTTGTTGTTGTTGTTGTTGTTGTTGTTGTTGTTGTTGTTGTTGTTGCTGCTGTTGTTGTTGTTGTTGTTGTTGTTGTTGTTGTTGTTGTTGTTGTGGGGTTGTAAGGACAGCCATTCCTGTGGTTGTAGACTGTGTTACTCCTGCACCAGCTTGTCGTCTCCAGGCCGTTGTTTTGGTTTTACAACGACAGAAAAACACTACCAGAAAGAGGAGAATGAAAAAAATAATAGGAGTAACTATGCTTACTGCCAGACGCCAGCCACGCCCACTTCCTGTACCACTTTCTACGTCGCAATCTGTTTTACATTTCATATCAACATCACAACATTGCCCAGCAGAACAATCGCCACTCGAGTTACACGATTCTCCAAGACAAGAACTGAGACACTGTTTGTCATTATCAACACCACAACAGGATTCAGCTGATCCACAGTAGTCATTCTCTCTACATGATTTTCCAATACAAGATCTAGCACAGTCGCCACTAAGACCTCGACCACGACCACAACAATATTCACCTAATCCGCAGTGGGAATACTTTTTACAAGATTTTCCAATACAAGATCTAGCACATTTGCCAAGACTTTGACCACGATCACAACAATATTTCCCTGATCCGCAGTGGAAATCATGTAAACAAAATTCTCCAGTACAATTTGAGGCACATGTTCCATTTGAACCACAGCAATATTCACCTGATCCGCAGTGGTTATCTTTTTTACATGATTTTCCAATACAAGATCTAGCACATTCGCCAATACGACTTTGACCGAGATCGCAACAGGATTCACCGGATCCGCAGTGGGAATCAGAGGAGCAAAATTCTCCAGTACATTCTAAGGCACATGTTCCATTAGAACCACAACAGTATCCATCTGATGCGCAGTTGGAATCATATGTACAAAACTTTCCAATACAAGATCGCGCACATTCGCCAATAGTGTTTTGACCACGATCACAACAACTTTCATCTGATCCGCAGTGTGAATCATATTTACACGATTTTCCAATACAAGATCTACCACATTCGCCGATAAGACTTTGACCACGATCGCAACAGTAATGTCCAGATTCGCAGTGGGAATAATCTTTACACGATTTTCCAATACAAGATCCAGCACATTTGCCGCTAAGACTTTGACCACGATCACAACAAGATTCACCTGATGGGCAGTGGAAATGACGCGAACAAAATTCTCCCATACAGTTTGAGGCACATTTTCCATCAGAACAACAGTATCCGCCTGATCCGCAGTGCGAATCCTCTCTACATAATTTTCCAATACAAGATCTAGCACATTCACCAATAGCGCTTTGACGACCACAACAGAATTCTCCTGATGCGCAGTAAGAATAATCTTTACACGAATTTCCAATACAAGATCTAGCACACTTGCCGATATGATCTTTACCACGATCACAACAATATTCGCCTGATGAGCATTGGCTATCAGAGGAACAAGACGAACAATTTATCAAGGCACATTTTTCATCACAACAAGATTCGCCAGGCGCACAGTGGCTAGACAAAGTACAAGGCTCGCCAATGCAATTGCGTCGACAAACATTGTTTTTTTCACAGCAATGCGGTTGATCTGAGGATAAACAAGTCTTTCCAACCGAACACCCAGTCGCTACTTGGGTAAACAGAGCAAGAACTATCACACAACATGACGTGGTCGTTATAATACACACCATTTTTTGCGGTTCGAAGCTTGTGAAGAAATATTACGAAAAGAAATAACTCTCTTTCATTTCCTTCAACGTACTTACAAATTCGTGAATAATATTGTAGCTTTTTCGCATACCAATTAAGACATTTTAAGGCCTCTTTCCGTCTCAGCGTTTGCTATATATTCTTTGTTTGCATGAATCACGCGACATTTCATCCAAATGACGGGCAGTCAAACAACTTGTGGGCGATTTTTCTCCTATCAGAATGGTTGTAGCAAGAAAAACTGAACGGTATAATTCACCTCTTGAGTCTTAAACTGACTCTAAATTCACGATCAATACATTAAAATAGCCGTTTCTTGTTACACCTGCCAACTGAAGTCCCACAATTACGTCATTGCAAACAATGAATACGTGGGTTAACCCACGCAAGTGTTTAAATTTTTATAAAGTTGCTTATGAAATATCGAAATGAATTGACGGACGGCACTTAGTTTAGTCAGTCTGATGTGTATTTGTTGAGGCAATTGTTCAAGGTCCCTGTGAGGGCGTCAACGTATACAGGGTACTTACCCGCCTTTTTAACCCTGCTTCTCCGTTTATGAATTACAACATGTATGATACTTAATCAGGTCCCGAAAATTCGGCCCAAGACTTTGTTCTATCGTTGGAGACAATATCGAGTCAATTTAATCATTCGTCTTTGAGATAAAGTCGATTTAGACTACGGAATATTTGCCTAAAGCATGCAAACTGCTTACAACTTGAGTTGTACTGTGTAAATCAAGCACACAACTCACTTACGACAAGTAGGCAAGTTGTGTACTTGATTTACACAGTAAAACTCAAGTTGTAAGCAGGTTCCATGCGACAGTTTTAGGCAAAAGTTGTGCAGTGTAAATCGGCTTTATCGATACGAAACGTCAGTCCTGTTATTATTGCCAGTGACGAAGCCATAGCAACAGGTCAAGCCATGCAAATTTTTAATAATGATTTTCATTATTCAAGTTTAGAAATGTATTTGTCTGTTACCTATTTAGATGAAGCGTTATTAGCATAGCATGAGCAGTTGCTATGAGTAGCTTTGCCCGTGATTACTGGCACTATATCTACCGTAGACTGGTACAAATTGTTCAAGACATATAAATTGCAATGTATAGGAATATATTTTTAAAAATATGATATATAAATAGCTATGTATATAGTGATGTACAAATAGTACTTAAAACACTCATTATCAACATTGGTACCATTGTCAATTAATTAAACAATGTTAAAATGGTATCAGGTACAGCGTAAACATGCCCTTAAATGCCAGTTGTTGCATTGTATGCCATCGCTGGATTGTATGGAGGCGGGGGCTCATTAGGGTCCAGTGGTGGTGGGTTGGGGTATGGTGGTGGGCGTTCGTTGGGGTATGGGGGTGGGGGTTGGTTGGTGTAGGGCGGTGGGGGATCATTGGTGAGTTGTCGATTCGTTTGCTGTTGAGGGTTTCCTGCATGTAAATACATTGGTGGTTGTTGTTGTTGCAGATGTTGTTGTGGGGTTGTAAGGGCAACAGTTCCTGTGGTTGTAGACTGTGTTACTCCTTCACGAGCGTGTTGTCTCCAAGCCTTCCTTTTGGTCTTACGGCGACAGACAAATGCTACCACAACGAGGACAGTGAGAGAAATAACAGGAGTAACTATGCTT